TAGTAAATTTTCAACTCGAATTTGATTTGAAAAAAAAAAAAATTTCTCTGGATAATGTGTCTAAAACACAAATTAATGCTTCTAAAACACAAATTAATGCTAACCAGAAATTTTTTTTTTATAATGAAGCTGTTTTTCTTGTCTTTCTTATTTATTGATTCGTAAAAAAACAGAAATTCCTCCTTACTGTATGGAAGTTGCTGTTTCAAGGTTTTCATTTTCACTAATTTTTTCCCCAGAGCCTTAGCGTTCAATGCTAGGGTTGTTTATAAAGTATTTGTCACCAATTCACTTTGCCGGTTCTTCCATCTACTGAATGTTCAAATAATGTAGCTTAGCTGGTTCATCCTCTGAGCATCTTTGGAATGAATGGATTTAGCAATATAAATTAATCTAAAACAAGAACTTTACCCGAGAAATCTCAATTTGTTTTTAAAAAGGTCACTTTTCCGGTTCTTCCACTAAGCTCTTCACTTATCAAAGTCAGATATACATACCAAGTCTTGAGAAACAAATAATTGAATAAATTAAAGTAACTGATGAAACAATTGTTTCATCAATTTCTTTCTGAAAACCTCCAATTATTAATAAAGGTCTGATTGTTAAAATTTGCTACGGAGCATTATTCTTAAGAAATGCACCTCTTAACTTATCAATATTAAAATTTTGGAATATTTTGAATTTTCAATTCTTAGATTAACTGCTTTATTTAAAAACGTAAAACGGTTTAGTTCCAATATCGTTTTATTTAATCAATTTCTAAGTGATTCGGAAACTTATTTAAATTTTTAATATTATTTGCTAACTGTTATCGCTGAATACTTCCCGTATTAATTTAATGATGCTAAAATTTTTGGAATAATTCACATTTTCTATTCTTAGATGACCTTCATTATTGAGAAACGTAAAACGGTTTACTAGCACCGCCGTTTTAGTTACCTTCGTAGCTCGTCTTTTGCCCCAACTTTAAGGACTTCATTAGACTGTCCAAGTTTTCCAATAAATCAACTTGAGTTCGGAAAGAGTCGGCTTAATCATTTGCATAATTTACCGAAGGAAAATGACGTTGAAATTCCTTCCTCTTATACGACTTCTTACCCGCTAATGAAATGGAAAACAAACAGGCCTATTCAAGTCATTTATTAGCTTTAAGGAAAAATTTGCATTTTTCATGCAAAACTACCTTGACAGTGAACTTGTCTTCTTTGATATGGGTATTTATTCAAGAGTCTCATGTAAATATAAAGTCTTTTGCCAAAGTAATTCAAAAGTATTTCTAATCAAAAATTGCGAAGCAAGAAATAGTCAAAATAAAAACTATAAATATAACTTGCAGAGAAATACTTTTTTCGATAAAAGCTGTTTTCTAAGAAGTATGTGAATATAATTAATTGTGAACGCATTTTAAGCGTCTCTTTAAAGCTTTATTTGCTTTTGATGTTTTCATAGTAAAATTTCTTAAGTAAACGGAGAAAAGTATTCTGGGAAAATTACCTTGCTGTTTGGTAATGGCATATTTATAAAAAATCAACAACATAAATCTGGTTAATAAAACTTAAAAATAGTATATTTAAACCATTCATTTCGTTATTCTTCCGTTCATATGGTAACAGTTTATCTGAAATTCTGGTATTCAAAATTATAGTTTTTATTACCCCACTTTTACCACAAAGTAAATTCAACGACATAAATGGTTTTCATGCCATGCTTCAGGGAATCATGATAACATTACTGAATTTTAATATTACTAAATTGTATCACATATTGTAAATACATATTTTTGTTAATTTTTCCAGAATCATTAGCAATGCGAGACGGTAAAAATTACCGAGCTTTTTAATGTTCTAATAAAACCGGAAGCACGATAAATTTTATATTTAGTTTTTATCATACTTTTTCTCTCGGAGTAAATTTTTCCGTTGCGAATTTCTATTCTAATCTGTATGCTCCTGCTATCCATTCGATTTATTTTAATCCGCATTTAATCCTTAAAATTCAATTCTTGTTCCATTAAAAGCAATTTTAAATTTATCTTTCATCCTTGCAAAACATTTAAAATATTTTGAAGAAAAATATATAAAACAATTTATTGTTTTTCATAAAGAGAAAACAAAGCAACTACCAACCTAAAGAAAGTAAACTGTGACTAAAAACTCATTTTCTATCTATATCATTTAGAAAACTCTAGACAATAAGTAAGAATATTACTAAAGCTCCATAAAAAGAACTTGAAAAAAGTACTTAATAAAAAGCACATATTTTTTTTTAAATAGTTCCCTTAAAAACAGGAGAAAGGGATTATTAGTAATTTTCTGTTTATATCAATTAGAAAACTCAGACTAACATTTAGACAAGAAGTTAGATTATTACTAAAAATCCATAAAAATATTTGTTAAAAAGTAGTTAACAAGGCAGAAGTCATGTCATTTAGAAAAGTCTAGACAATAAGTTTGAATATTACTAAAGCTCCATAAAAAGAACTTGAAAAAAGTACTTAATAAAAAACACATATTTTTTTTAAAGTAGTTCCCTTAAAAACAGGAAGAAGGGATTATTTTTAGTAATTTTCTGTTTAACACAATTAGAAAACTCAGACTAACATTTAGACAAGAAGTTAGATTATTACTAAAAATCCATAAAAATAATTGTTAAAAAGTAGTTAACAAGGCAGTAGTGATGTCAGTTATTTTTTAATTAGTTCCTCAAAAAGCGGGAAAAAAGAATTATAGGGATTCCATCAAAGTTGTGTTCGCTGAAAACACTCCAGGCGAGGAAAAGTTAAACTTTATTTGTAAGAAAAATTTAATGAATTATAATGTCTTCTTCTAAAGACGGCAAAAATGCAAATATCGGTTTAGTCAACAGAAATCTTTGAATTTTGTCAATAAAATAGTGTGAATAACGTGCTACGGCCCTATAAAAAAACTATTCTGTTACATTTTTTTCTAAAATAACACTACTCTACAAGCATCAATTCTTAAATTTTTCAGGATTTTATTGGTTTTATGTTTGTATCTCACGAAAACTCTACTTTTGTTTTATTAATTATTTTATGTACTTTCCAAAACGTTTTTCTCTAGAGCATCGCATACATATTCATATTAAAACTAAATTGATTCAAATATTTGTAAAAGAAATGAAGGAACCTTTGTGCATTCAGAGATACACAATAGATACTTACCAACTTCGCACATGGTAAGGAACATACATGCATATTATTCAAAATGAGACCCTTATGGGCAAACAATTTTCGGGTTTTATTACCTTTATATTTCTTTCCTTTTTATTTTCAGTTTCAGTTCTAATAGCTAAATAAATGCATAGGTATTTTCAAAGCACTTTATAAGTTTTAAATATGAAAAACGTGAATATTTGAAAAAATAATTAAATAAAAGTTTCCATTCTCTTTCATTGTTGTTGTTCTTGTCGGTCATTAAGGCAAAGGGGGCGTGATTGTTCTTATTTTCCAGAGGCGCCATCCATAGCCAAGAATTCGACTTCTGCCATACCCGTTTATAGAGCTGACCCATTCATACATCCAAACATACATCCACAGATCGTAATTTTGACCTAAACCAAAGAACGATCAATCTCCAATTCCGTACCCTCAGAGGTATTGATTTGTTGTGGGAACATGGAAGACTCTGTGACCCGACATTTTTTATCGTGTACCAGTCATCATTTACTACACGGAGAGTCTTTGGCCGACTGTATTCGAACTCTCGTTCTTTCAAACATGAGTCCACGGCACTACCAGCAGGCTATCCCAGCCATTCTCTTCATTACATAAAAATAATCATTACATCCTAGGTACAATTTTATAACTGACAAGCATGCTCATACATTTAAGAAACTGTAAAAATTCTTGCCTATCTCTTAAAATGTTGATGATTTACTAATATATATATAAAANCATTTGACTATGAATAAAAATATAAAAATGTTCATATTTTTAACATTATTTCATTTATATCAGTCTAATTTGTTTTTTTAAGCAGATTGCAGATTACTCTTAGTATATATATATATACACTACCGGTCAAAAGTTTAGACTCACTTGTATTTATTTCAAAATTTTCAAAAATAGTTAAATGTTTCTGACTTAAACATACAATATATCAAACATAATCATAAACAAACATCTCAAAACTCTGTTTTCTTTTAAAACTGTTTATTATTTTTCCATTTTGTATCTATTCTGTAGTTGATAACTGAATAAACGAAAGTGCATGTAAGTACCTATTCTAAAACAAGTGTAATTTATTTAAAAATATTTATTAATTCTTAATTTATAAACAATTTACTTTTCATCTTCTTTTATGGGGTTAATTAAAAGTTATGTTCATGTACATAACAAATTTTAAATATTGATATAATAGCCTTAATTAGCCGGAATAACTGGCATATATTAAAAACAAAAATAAATTTTTTTATGCAATTTATTACAGTAATATGGGTCATAAACGAGAAATAAGTGTGAAACACGTGCAGTTATTATTGCACTTCATGCAAAAGGCTATTCAAGTAGACAAATTGCACCTAAAACTAATGTTTCTCAGACCACTGTTGTCAGAACTTTGCAATGGAAGAAAGAAACTGGCCAAAATAAAAGCCGCCAGCGATCAGGGAGACCTAGAATAGCGTCCAAATGTGAGGATAAGTTTATCCGCATTCAAAGTAAGCGGCAGTGGACTCGAACAGCACCAGAAATCCGTGAGGAATTGAATGCTACTCGGCAGAAAATTGTGCCAGTATCAACTGTACAACTTCGACTTCGTGACTATGGTTTAAAAGGTTGTACAGCTGCTAGAAAACCTCTTTTGAAGAAAAAATAAAGTAAAACGACTGCAATGGGCAAAAAAAAACATGTTACCCGGTCTTTGGAAAAGTGGTCAAAAGTTTTGTTTACGGACGAATAAAATTTGAATTGTTTGGAAGCAAACGTAGGCAGTATGTTCATCGTTTAGTTGGTAAACGTACGACAAGTCAATGTTTACTACCAACTGTGAAGCATGGTGGAGGTTCAGTCATGATTAGGGGATGTTTTGCCGGTGATAAAGTTGGAGATCTTGTAAGAATAGAGGGTATTATGGATAAAAAAATATTATCACAGAATACTGCAGCGTTACGCTTTTCCATGTGAACAGAGAATCGTTGGTCAAGGATTTGTTTTTCAGCAAGATAAAGATCCAAAACATTCATCGAAATTGTGTATAAACTACATTGCATCAAAAGAAAAGAAAAAAGTACTGAAATACATGGATTGGCCCCCTCAATCCCCTGATATTAATACTATTGAGCTATTGCGGGATGAACTCCATAGAAATGTTACAAACATGAGATGCACCAATCAAAACAAGCTTTGGGAATCTTTACTTAGTTGCTGGAACCAGATATCAGCTAGAACATTACAAAACTAACAGAAAGAATGCCAAAAATATGTGCTGCTGTGATAAAGGCTAAAGGAGGATATTTCGAAGAATCCAAGATTGGACGAAATTCATAAGTTATGTGTAAAATTATAGTTCTTAACATATAAGCGTTCCTACATTTCTCAAAAGAAAGTCAATTTAATGTAATTTTCAGTTTAAAAGTAGTAATTTTTAATTGCTATTTGTCTATTTTTAAGAATTCAAGAGTGAGTTTAAACTTTTGACCGGTAGTGTATATATGTATATATATAATTAAAAAATATATGTTTTCGGAGCTTCACATACTCAACCACATTAAGTTATGAAATAAATGTTTAAAAAATATCTTAAAAATACTTAGTTCCGCATTTACTTGCTTATCTAATAATTACTATCAAAACGAAAAGTAATTGTTTCCTAACTAATATTATTTCATCTAACTAACGCTAATTATCCTGATGTTATTTCCTCCTGTTATCTAAAATTATCCTCGTGTTATTTATTTGTTACATATTTAAAGTGTAATCCTCAAATAAAACTACCGAAGGTAACTTTGATATATTGCACGCTTAATTTGAAATCTAATAAGATCTAATGCTTTAAGACAAAAGTATATTGTAATGATCAGAATGAGATGTAATTTCGAAAACATTAAAAGCTATTTTAGGAGACAAAACAAATTCCAGAATGACTTTTATCTCTTATCTTGAAAAGATCATAATGAAAAGAGAGTGAATTAAAATGGAATGATGCCAGATTAACTCTTTGGTACACTATTTTCTAAAGGTACTTATCGAAATAACACTCATTGTTAGCTTAGCTTCTTATCATTTACAACAAAGGGAACGAGATTTGATCATAAATTGCCGATTTCTTGTTTTTGTTGTTATTCAAGCAGATGCGGGTGAATTGTCAAGGGATGAAAATTATAAAGCTTCAACTATTGTGACAAACTTTAATCCTCAGATATTATATCTTATTTATTGTATGAAGAATAAAATAAAATATATTAGGGAATATTAGTTAAGAGTTAATGAGAAATGTAATTACTTTATTTGCTCATAAATTGTTGATTTCTTATTTTAGTTAGTAAACATTCTTGGTTGAATTGTTAATGAACTCAAATTATAAAACTTTAACTATTGTGATAAGATTTATAGCTATAGCTTTGATATAATAACTTATATATTGTATGAAAAACTTAATAAAAATATATTTGCTTTCGTTAGTTACCAGTTTTTTTAAACCAGATTGGTCAGTTGTTTTATCCTATGATAGTTGTTAAGTTCAAATTTTTATTGGTATTCAAGCAAAACAAATTGTTGAAAAACTTAATTTATAAAAGTTTAACTATTGTTAAAAGTTAAGAGAATTTGCGTTATATCTTATTTATTGTTTGTAAAAATGAAATAATCTATATTTGCTTTTATCAGTTACCGGATTTCGATTTATATATTTGTTTTATCCCATGAGTTTACATTTTTATTGGTATTCAAGCAAAACAAATTGTTGAATAGCTTAAATTATAAAAGTTTAACTATTGTTAAAAATTAAGAGAATTTTCGTTATATCTTATTTATTGTTTGTAAAAATGAAATAATATATATTTGCTTTCATCAGTTACTGGATTTCGAGATATATATTTGTTTTATCCCATTATATTCATTGAGTTTATATTCATTGAGTTTATATTCTTATTGGTATTCAAGCATAAAAAATTGTTAAGGGATTCAAATTATAAAACTTAAATTATTGTGATAAATTTTATAGCTTTGATATTATGTCTTATAGTATGAAAAATGGGATAAAATATATTTGCTTTTATCAATTAACAGATAAGGAAATATGCGTTTGTTTTGTTCGTTGATAATTGCAGCTCTAACTTTTATTGTAATTCAAGCATAACAAATTGTTAAAGAGCTTAAATTATAAAACTTTATCTACTGTGACTAAAGTTAATACACGGGCATTATAACTAATTTAATGTATGAAGTATGAAATAAAAATTCATTGGGGGAATCAGTTTATTAAAGAATTTATTAATATCATCTAACTTGCTTCTTTTTAATTGAAATTCAAAGAAATTTCCATAAGTTGCAAAAATGCTATATTCTTCATCACGTCGACAATAATAGTCGAAAATTCTAAGCAAATAAATTATGAGCAATTATGCAGCCTTAAATTTATATAGTAACTATTGCTATTTGGTTACGTTTTTTCCAGCGTAAACATTGTAAATATACACTTAGAAAAAAAAGTATACTCAAAACCACCAGAATACGGTAAAATTTATCTTGCTTCTGGCTCTATGGAAAAACAAAAACAAAAAAAAAACTTGGGAATTTAGAACGAAGCATTTTAAAATTTATTTTTGTAAAATTATCACTAAAATGGGGTTTGATATAGAATGAAATGCGGTAAAATTAGCACGATACCTTAGAACATGGCATAAAAATAATTTATTCGGCTAAATAAACTTTTTAGTTTTGTATTTTCACTAAAAGTGGGGTAATAAGAACAATAATTTTAAAAACCACAGTTTAAGGTAAGTCATTGTTATATGAACGGATAAATTACAAAACCAGAAAGGTTTAAATATCGTATACTTCGGTTTTACTGACCAGAATATTTGTTTTTTTACCAGAAATTTCTTTATCAAACAGTATTGTAATTTTACCAGGATTTTTTCTTCGTTGTATCGCTATAATAAGTGTTGTTATAAGTTGTATAAGTCATGATTAATTATAAATAGCAAATAAAAAAATAACATAAAAAGTCATGCGATATTTCGGCAATTTTATTTGGGATATTAAAAAAAATTTAACTGAAAAAAAAACTTAAAATTACGAAATTATAAAAAAACTTCTTTTTAAAAAAAATGCAAGTACTTTATTTTTTAAGAATTAATTACTAATTTTCATAATTGAGCAAAACTTTAGGTTGTACATTCGAATTAAAACTAACTTTGCTAGAACGAAACTTAATTCCTATCCTAATTCACAGCCACACAGGGCAGAAATATCAACTTTAGGTTACCACACGAAACTAAAAACACGTTCCATGATATTTTCAAGACAGAGATAATAGAAAATTATCGTAGCTAGATTATACTAACATAAATATTATTTTATGTTATAGTCTAAATTCTGAAATTTTTACATGAAAATAGAAATCTACTCACTGGTGCTATTGCATAAAATCAAAAATATTAAATATTGTCATCGTCTTTAGACACAAAAAAGAATTTTTTCTGTAAAAAAATTTCCATTTTTTTATATAGAAAATCTGATTGAGAAATAAAAGAATTTTACATGTTTTAAAAATTATTCAAAGTTGTATTCATTTGTAAATGCTATTTTTATTTATGCAATAAAATGAGAAATTATTTTTCACTAATTAATTATCTTCACATAACTTTAACATTATAAAATTAAATATTTTGTTTAATCGTTGAACGAAAATTCAGTACATATTATTTTCATTTTGTTAATAATAAAAAATAAATAAATAAAACTTCATTTACATTTTTGTTTTTTAAAAAATGACTTTATAAGATTATATAGCCAGCCCAGGATAGATATTTTTTTCCATATAGCTTTTTTCTGACTTGAAGGATATTTGAATAAATATCAACTTTATTATTTGCACGTAGAATTATTATTATTTACAACTAATTGCGCGTAGAATAGATTATCTCCATATACCTACTTCCCCTGAGTAAGAAATTCTAGTTAATAATGAGTAAGTAATATTCACGAAATCTGAGAATTTTTATTACTACATTTTTGATGTTATTAAAAAATTTCGGCAAAAATTTTATCAAAAAACTTAATTACAATTCCTTCCTCCTGAAATTAAACTTGAGCCCTTGGAATTCCTTTTTTTTTGTTTACTCAATAGATCTTTCTGCTACATAATTTTCAGATATTTGGAAATTTTTTAATATTAACAGTTTTTGATATTTATAAGGTTTTACTTTGTATTTTCAAACTTTATAATCTGTATAAAGTTCTGGTGGGGCCTTCTTTTTTCTTTTCTTTTTTGTTAAAGACTAAGGAGCACCACTTCTCGCTGTCGCTCATTATTTACAGAATGAATAAAACGAATAATATTTTAAATATGGCCTAGGCATTCCACAAACTGATGGAAAACCTTCGAGCGCTCTGTAAAGTAAGTAGCTGATAAAGTGTGTAATTATTCGCATATTTTGTTTGAAGGGCATTTATCATTCTATACAATGGTAGACAATTTTTACAAAGACTTGGCAAAGTATGTAAAAATTCTCCTATTTTACATTTTATCTGAAATTTTAGGCATTCTATAGAATGACTAATCTATCTATAGAGGGCCGGGATAGCCTGGTTGTTAGGGCACTAGGCCCAAGTCCAAGAGTTAGTGGGTTCGATCCCAGGCCAGCCGAAAACTCCCCATGTAGTAAATGGTGACTGATGCATGTTAAATCATTCGAGTCTCAATGTCCTCCATGTTCCCATAACAAATAAATACTTCTGGGGGTACTGATTTAGGAGTTTCCTTGTCTTCTGAATTGGTTCAAAATTACAAGGCTACGGAGTTGAACATTGGTAGTCGTGAACCCAAATTTGGGTAGGCTGTTCAACGACGGATATAAAATAAAATCCTTCGATTGAATGTCTGTATTTCGTACATTGGCATTTAATATATTTATTAATTGAATGCCTTAAACTGCATAAAAATGATTAATAATTGTACGACTCTAATTAAATGGATTCAGCTTTGATAAATTGCTTCGAAATACTAAAGTTCAGAAAA